ATTGGCATCTGCCAAATGCTAAGCATTGTGAAGACCAACATGAGTAATACAAGACTTCTGTCCTAGGAACTTATAGTCATGGAAACAAACAAATAAGAGATAATTCCTGCTACTACCTGATCATTTACTTCAGTAAATCAGTTGGCCTTTGAACTTTCAGTGGGAAAGTATGTTGTTTATATTAACATTATAAACTATTATTTCCACAGGGCCTTGCAGTTTTCAGGGAATTTAGTTAGGTATCATCTCCTTCTTAAGCCATGGAAATAGCATGATCAAAGATAATTAAACATTAGGAATAATTCAGAAATCTTTTACTTTTCCATTTATATCAGGCCCTGACAGGAAACAAAATCTTTTTGCATTGTTTATCTTCTTTCTTTGGCTTTACTCAAACTTTAATAATGATACTCTTCCAAATAGGTGTTGCTTTTTACAAATTATTGGGCGAGGCACTGTCTTATTTGAAATATGTAAGAGGACAGCTTTGGAGGCCAAGTGCCTTAGTTTAAGTCACAGGGTTCCACATGCCAGGACTTGGGAGTGTATCTGTCACTTCTAAGTTCGCATTCCTTCACCACTCTCTTCTGACCCCACTGTAGTTGGGAGGGTATTAAGTTGTAAGAAAAAAGGAAAGAAAAACACAGTTAATGGCCATTGTTTATGGAACATTTACATGCCAAGCACTGTGTTAATACTTTTATCCATCAGCATATTTCATCAAAAAGTATTCAATAGAAGACTGAAAAAACAAAAAGGTGAAGCCAGGAGTCTGAATACTCTATTAATTGGTGATCTTGGCATTGCATTGTAATTGTTTGTTTATATATCTTTCTCTTCTTCCAGGCTGTGGCTCTTAAAGTACAAGATGCTGCGTTTTATTAATTTTTTTATCCCCAATCCCTAGCCTAACATTGATACTAGAAAGCACTTACCACAATACCTTGCACATAGTAAGTGCTCAATAAATGTTGCTGATTTTTATTATTATTTATAATCATTCAGTACATTAAGTATAATTTTTAGATAGATGGTAAGAAGGGTGGCAAAACACCAGAAAAATAAAAATGCTGATAAACCTTGAAAATAGTCATGATGCTAGGGGGAAAGTATAATGGTTTTGCAATGTATTTATAGGTGGATTATCTACTTATTTGCATTTCTACTATGACCATATAATCTAGGCCAGATGGCTCAAGCAATACCTGGCCAACGGAAACAAAAGAAGAGCCACATAGGTCCACCTAGAATTTTCTTTTTCTGTTTCTTTTTTTTTCTGGGCGGGGGGTGGGTGTGGACAGAGTCTCGCTCTTTTGCTCAGGCTGGAGTGCAGCAGTGCCATCTTGGCTCACTGCAACCTCTACCTCCTGGGTTCAAGTGATTCTTTTGCCTCAGCCTCCCAGGTAGCTAGGATTACAGACAGGTATGCGCCATTACACCCAACGAATTTTTTTTGTATTTTTAATAGAGACAGTGTTTCGCCATGTTAGCCAGGCTGGTCTCAAGTGATCCACCCACCTCAGCCTCCCAAAGCGTTGGGGTTACAGGCAGGAGCCATTGGCCTGGCCTATAATTTTCATATATGTCCCACTGTACTCAACACTAAATGCCACTGTCAGGCTCTGTTAATACCATGAGCCTCAGGCATACTCAGCTAGCTTTCACATCATCACATCTCAGCTTCTTGTCCAAGCTCTGCCATCTTTCTTGTTCATAGAGTTTTACTCTGTAGAGGCTCATGTTACTTTAAGGTGTCAAAGCACATTATTGACAAGTAAAGGCCTCTCCCCTCAAAATTTTGTTAAGCTGCAAATACCTGTATTGAAACCTCTTAGTTACTCTCCCTGAACAAACTAGAAGGGAAACTACTGCCCTTTTAGCCAGCTGTGCTGCTTCTGTGTGAATGATAATGATAAATAAGCAAAACATATGACCATCAGTGGAGAAAGGTAGTCTGAAGGCCCAGATTCAAAATTTAAAATAGATGAGAAGTCTTTACCTTTTCTTGCAGATTAATTTAACTGGAATTCATTTATTGATGATGAGTGTTAACCTCTGTCTTACTGAAAAAGAAATCTGCTTAAGTAATATTTTTCCTGCTTATCTATTTCAAAGTTGAACGTTAGCATCTTTTAGGGCTTTAAATGTGAAATGTAAGTATGATGGATAAAATGACTCTAATGATTTGTTTCATTTTCATTCAGAACACTGGTGTTTCTTTTTCAGGGAGCAGCCATGTTCTCTTACATTTGTTTGATTAATAAAGGTCAAAAACCCACCCCAACAGCATATAACTTAATTTTTTCCAACAAACTACTGATAACTGCTTAAGAGGGACAGTAACTGATTGTCTTGTACATAATGGAAAAATTTTGAACATCAGATATCTCTGGTTTCATTTTAAAGGCCATGAAGGCCCCAGAACTGAAAGAGAAGCTCGAAGAGTCTGAAAAGCTGATAAAAGAACTAACAGTGACTTGGGAAGAGAAGCTGAGGAAAACAGAAGAGATCGCACAGGTAGCTTGATAATTTAGCCCTAAAATATTGGGATTCTTTTTCATTTATTGTCTTTTCTGTGTAGTTTCCTGTCATCTTCAGAAAGTCTTTTTTTTTTTTTTTTTT